TGGTGGGGTAAGCAAATGAGACAGAATTTTCTTTGCCGTTAGGCTTTTGTTCACAAAATGATTTTTTTATGGATCCTATCCTGTTGGCATGCAAAGGTAGATCCTTCTGCTCTGGTTGAGGATACCATGCTCTTAAGCTGCAAAGGAGTATTTTTGTTTGAGAAGTGGATTGGATAGGGTGTGGGTGCTAAACCATTTGGGATTCTGCTCATCAGGACTACAAAGTGTACTTTTGCTGGCAAGAAGGAGGAAAAAATAACAGGGGAGGAGGAAAGAATAATAAAATATCTAAGAAGTATGTGGTTATGGAAATATCTGCTCCAAAACCAGAAAACCCCTGGAAGTTACGGTAGTCAGGGAGCAGCTGGAGAAAGCAACAGACAGCGCAAGCAAGAGAACATGTGGGAAATGATGGGAGATGAAGCATGAAGAGGAAGAATTAAAATCAAGTGAGAAGGAAAGAAGCCAACACCACTAAAGCTGTCGATTTAGAGTCATTAATTTGGATTTGCCCTTCTCTTTGGCTGTTTTTTTTTTAATGAATCCCTAGACAGAGTCCAGTCATTCAGCTTTACTTATTTCTGTAATCTGCCTTTGCTTGCCTGTTGGTATTCCTGAATAAGACATGTGTAGGGATGAGGCAGGAGTGGGGGCTGACATGAACTGCTCTTATTTTCTGATAAAATATCTATTTTAATGTCTTACAGCCAAAAAACAAGCTTGGTGTCAGGCAAACCAAATTGAGGAAGAAAATATTAAAGGACAATATTGTACTGAGCATTTAATCTTAACAATATCAGGAGAAATTATAAGTAGCTTGGCATTAGTCTGCAATTCTGCAATCTCATGGACCTCCTCACAAATTACTGCCAAGGGAAATGGAGAAAGGTTGAAGGGTAAGCACAGGCATATCTTAGTATCACAGAAATTGTTTACAGGCTTCCACTGAATTTGTTGCCCATCAGTGATTTCACTTTCCCCGATCTGTGCAAATGGAATTATTAGATTAAGCTACAAGAGGTTTAATACCCCTACATGTAAACTACAGTCAAGTAATAAAGTAATTTTACCATGTAAATGAGAATAATTAATGGTAAAAATAGTCCTAATTTTTTGTAGGTAATAAAAATTCTGCAAATCATGCTGTCATTAGAAATCACTTGCAAAGCTGCAGGTTCCAAACAGTGACTGTATGAGTGGAGTGATTCGTATCTTGCCTGTGCTCCTTATTTGACAGGGCCAAAAATACACACTTAAAATTACATTATTTAAGTACAGCTTTCAGCCCTTTAAACTGATGTACAGAAGTTAACATAAATGTTAACTTGAGAGCTGGTTGTTTTTAATTACAGAAGCAGTAATTGTTTGGTCGTTCATTTAGGGGTTTTTCTTTGTTTGTTTGTTTAATTAAAAACCCCAGAGGACTATTAGTAACAAGTTCTGAGACCTTCTTAGTATGAAATGTATGGAAGGCATCCTCCCAAGGCAGGAAAATCAAAACGAAAGGGGAAATTCTGCCCTAAAGTTTTTTTTCTGTGGAAGGGAAGTTGATGGAGTGATTCTAGCAACCCTCTTGCTTGAGAAAAGATCTGCCTTGGGAATAAATAGTTTTCTTATAGAGGTCTGGAACTGCAGAGCCTCAGCAGTGTTGTATCTCAGCTCAGTGTTGCAGGTGGCCGGCACTAGAGGGCACAGCCTCAGCTCTGCTGGGCCCTGAGAGCATGTGGGCATGGCAGCCCTGCCAAAAACCCCTTAGTCTGATTTTTTTTTTCCCCAATCATGTTCCCCTTTATCTCGAGGTTTTCTCTAGACATTTGTTCCTTTTATCTCTGCGACCCAGTATTGGTTTCTAAATAAAAGTTTCCTGTGCTGGTATATAATTAGCCAAATTTTCCCTCTGGATTCACTCACATCATGAGAATAAACTTCAGTGGTTTATACCCCGGACAACCACATTGCTGCAGCACAAGAAGAGAAATCCTGTCCTTGTCACTGTGAGGGCAGACAGATTAAAGAGTGGGTTACAGGATGGCATTTCCTGTTTTACCATTATATGACTGTTTGTGGCCATAGTACTGTTCATAAAATGTGGGTCGCCTCGATTTTGATGGCAGAAAACATAATTGAAAGGCATCCTAATGGAAAAGGTCCTAAGCTTTGAATTTTAATATGCATAAAAATCACGGTAAGACGACTTTATAAATTTTCTCCAGCAGGAATTATGGTCTCAATTTTGAGGAGTGCCTGACCGTTCCTTTTCTCATTTCTATTCCTAAGGCTGACTGTGTAATCCACTCTCCATACCCAGCATCATTGTAGTAGGACTAAATCATACAGCCAAAAGCTACTGCTATTCTGCTGTGGTTAGAGTGGTGCTTTATTTTGGTAGCCAAACTGGAAGCATTGACTGGAAAAGAGTTATTATTGTGCCGCCTGGTTTTCTTGCTGCTTTGCGACTGACAAAGCCTCATTTATCACGCTTTGCATTCCAATTTTTCTTTGCACGTTTTCCAGATCATCATAACATAATTATGTTTCTGTTTCCTTCAGCCAGGGGCCGATACTTTCTTTTACTAAGACAACAGCTGCACTGCACAACCTTGATGAATCCCCATAAGGGTAAAATGTGTCTGTGGTGCTTGTTTCTGCTTTGGCAACCCAAATGTTCAAGTTCTTTTTTATGACAAATGCTGTTCTAAAATGCACCCAACCCCGATGCTTTCATAGCATTTCTCAAAATGAGGTTTTATATTGCAAATTAGACTTGAAATATTAAGCATCCTGGCTGGTTTGTAATTTTAAAATCTTCTTTTGTAGTGTTTCTGTTTACAGTGTTTGTAGGTTATAAACGATGGAATGGAATTTAGAAGGCTATAGTTACTGATGTGAAATTTAATTTTTGAATGAAATTGATTTTATGTGTGACAATAAGCATGACCAGAGGTCTGCTTTTCACCCCTAAAAGGCATCTTAAGGCAGCTTTCACAGTACAGGTCAATCATTTCTGTACTTGACCTCAGTTGTTCCAGCCACACTGTGATATAAAGGGAATTATACAAACCTCAACTATGAAGTGCACTGACTGCTAGTGATGGAAAAAGACACACAGTATTTTTATTATTAGTTATGGAGATATTTTACTTAACTGTAATTTAGTACCTTGAACCTGAGATTTCAAAGTACTTGAGAAAGGAAGGTTTGTTTTTTTTTTTGCTTAGGAGAAATCAGGGCAGAGAAAAGTAGGACTCAACGCTGGAGGCAAGCTGAGGGCAGAATCCATTCTTAATGCTCCTAATTTTGTTTACCCAATTATACCATTACTAATTCCCATTTCATCTCAAAATCTATCTATTAAAGTACTGTGTACAATGGAAGCAGTAACTTTTTCAGTCATTGAAGATAACTCAGATTTGCAAATGTAGGGAATATTGTGTCCTGAACAAAACTACAGCCTGGATAATTGCATTCTTCAGGGCAATGTTTTCCCTACAATTTTGCTTTCTACCCAATTCTCCTGGAGTTATTATTCCTGCTACCATCATTTGAAGATTTTTTGTATTTATATATAAAAATTACAATCATTCTGTACATGCAGACAAGAGTTTAACGGATATGATCAGTCCTATCAGTCGTATCTATGTGCTCCATGTTCTAAGGATACTTTGTGATATCTGAGAGTGTTTTAGTTCTGCAGTGTCTTAGTTCTGTCCACCACATTGGTCACTGATGCAATTGCCTGAAAGGCTGTTAGATGTTGATGGGAACTCTCCCTGGCTGGCCAGGGCCAACTTCTCTCCGTGAATGGTGAGTATGGTTCTGCTGTTGATAGAAAAG